TCCTGAAGTATTTTAATATTCCATGAAAAATTTGAAATGACGAACTGATCAGCCTGCGGGCGTTCAGTGACTTTCAAACACGAGATGCCTCAATATCAAGCAGCTACCTCGCTTCTGTAAATGTTGTTTGATACCACTGAACTCAAAAAAAAGAATGTTTTTTCACATCTTACACGAACTTCATTTTTATGACCATCGAATTTTTCTACTCTATGTGGTAATAAAACTCTTTAAACCGAAGAGCATAATAATTTTACGTTGAAAAACTAATTTTCTTGAAGTTTCATTTCCTCATCATTCTTGTCATTCGCCATCACTCTCATAAGAAAGATGAGGGTAGTTACGATTGAGGTCACTTCGCACCTCGGCGCAAAGTAATCTCAGTCGTAACTAACGACGCACACCCAGGTTGCACCTGCTGGAATTTGCAAAAGAAAATACCGAGAGTGATACATCCGAGAGACTATCGCATATCTTATTCGAACCCCGAAAGGCATGCAATTGACTAGCTATGACGTCCCGAAATATGCGCAACGGGATTCGCCTACGCCTTCGTCCCGCGCATCCGTTGAAAGTAGGTCACGCCGCAGCTGTCGCACGCGACATGTTAGCCCACAATTCTTGACGAACCTCGCACTTATTAGTGAGGGCCTACGCTTTACGTATGGTCGGACCGAAGAGAGGGAAATCGAAGATTGGTTCATTCGCTCCACCATCACTTAGTAGTGCTGTAATGTCTTCTCGGAACCCCGGTGGGCTGCGCCGAGGTGGGCGGGCGCCTTAGTTTTGACGGACGCGCAGACTGGACGTTACCCGCGAGGTAGTGCTCTCTCTCCTGCCAGCCTATAGATGGTTGGCAACCCGTTAACGGATCTCCCTTTTTCAGCTGTGGTGGAGTGTATGAACAAGTAATGGTGAGCGGTCTGTTCGAGCTAATCTCGCGGAACACATGGCAGCGAACAAGGTCAGAAAGCAGCTGTACCATGTGACTGTTAGCTTTGAACACATTCAGTCAATTACTAGACTTCAAAGCAGCCGGTTAATTACAAGTTGAAGGTCGATGTGTAGCCTTCGGTGTTATCATCCGTAGATGATCTTTTTATGTAAAGCGCCAACTTTGTGTGCCTGTTTTTATATCGATTTGTGCGGCTGCCTGCGAAAATCCATGTAGGTGCGATGAGAAGTGTGAATTGTCATGTGGGCTCGGTGAGGAAGCATTTATGAGATAGGTCTACCGATACTGTTTGCATTGATTCCCCGAAAAATCTTGGATAGCGGATGTGGGAATGGGATGCATGCGTCAGCGTGCGTAGCCCAACTCTTTGGTAATAAAAAACAGGGGAGACAGTGCAGTTTTTCATATCTTGAGGGTGGGCAAAAATGAGATAGATCTGTTCTTATGTTAGTTGGAAAGCTAGCCGGTCATTTTCGTTACCTTTAGCTGCTCAAAGGCAGTGAGCAAACCTTTCACATTTGTTGTACTCACTCAAACAGTGACTTTCGCCGAAGATCCTCATTGTTTCTAATGCATTGTGCTCATTCTCTTAACAGTTTGACACACATCTACTTTGCCGACCAGCGTAAAAGCAGAACGTGCATGAAGATTAAATGGAACTACATGATAGAAGCTTTGTTGTAATAAATTAGCTACACAAGGAGGGTTGCTTAGCAAAACAGTTAGGCTTATGTTACGGAGTATCTGTGTTTTGATAGTTGACGAAGTCAAACGGTTAAGTGGCAAAAGCATGTGATGAGATCGAAACGTTCGAGGATAGGAACAGAACAGATAAGAACTAGAATCATGGTGCAAGTCAAACAGAGAAAAGATTGGAATATCAATTATACTCTCGTACACGACTAGTAAGTATATCCGAATGCGTTAAATGAGGTGAAATTGCAAGGGAACTTCGGTGCTGTGCTGAATTTCTTCTCTTTAAGTTTTCTTTCTGATAGTTGAATTTTTATATATCAGGTTTTTTTTGAAAGAGTATTCCAAAGTTTCCACTTGTTCGGTGTCCAAGGTTTGCAGTTTTGTAAAGCCAATGCTCACAATCACATCAACTTCGGAAATGTTTCAGTTCAAAAAGGCCTATCCTGCAGTCTACTCACAAAAGTTTCCATCGCAGGAGGTAACGCAATCGAGGAAGAAAAGCAAGGAAGGCGGCTTGTTCTCCAAGCTTCTTGGTCGCTGAATCGGAAACTAATGTAGTGTTTTACTAATCTCACTTGCTACTTTTGAGCGGCTTCGCATACCGATTTTGTACCAAGTATACTCCTGAATATATTGTTGATCTTGTCTATGTCGTGATAATAGATAGATATCTCTCTTATTTATAAAGCTCTCTTATTTGGTGTGCCGGTCTGTCGGTTTGTGTGTTTGTCGGTTTGTCTGTCTCTCCGTTCGAGAAACTTAATGGTAATGAGAGAGATGGTGATATGAAAAAATCAGCTCTATTGTAAATATCCTTCTTGTAAATAAAGCAGTAACTTGGTGGATAGGTTAATGGAGTAGAACTGTGATTTCGATCTGTACTGACATGTATTTCTATACAGAAGTCGGAGGTAATAATGCAGCTGGAGACTCCCGCTTTCTTTTCAAAATTAAGCGCTAGAGTGCAGATGAGGAGAGTAGCCCATGATTGTGCTCAAAAGCCTTCCTCAGCCGAGATTATGCAGTTTTTCGACCTAAGCATCGGGAGCGAAGTCGCACCGCGGTAGGTGAGTCGATTGAATATTCAGTTCATACCCTAGCTTTTTGCACGATATAATCGTCGCATCTCCACCTCGGGTCTCCTCCCTCCTGTATCTGGTGAAAACTGTATCCTTTCACTTATAACCGTCACAAGCGCAGGTATGGTCGACTACTACTCTTTTTCTGCCCTCAAGCCCTCAGTGTTGGATAAAAATGATGCCTCCCCCCTAGCTACATTTTGAACGAAAGATAAGGAATGAGGCCGTGAACCAGTCGGGTCGCCTGGCGTAAGCCTCACCTCTGATCAATGGTTAGGGCGTAACCTCAACGCTGCTCAATTCTTTGATCGGGAGGGATCGAAAACAAAACTAATGTGACTGTATTGCTGCGTTTATTGTTTTCTGTAACTCTTCACGAGGTTTGTAAATGAGCTTTATTAGGCTGACGTTTCGTCGGGGTCGCCTTCTTCAGAGCCTGAAAGG